GCAGCAAAAATAAGATTTGCCTTGTCATGAACTTGGGTGCTTGGAATTGATTTTCATCTCATCTGTTCGGGTAACTTCTTTGCATACACATATACAACCTGAGTCTGTTCCCAGTGAGGTCAAATGGGAAGTTTGCAATTGCCTTCAACAGTAGAAGGACTAGCCTAAAAGAGAGGGTTTATACATATGCAACTTGATCTTATTTTTTTTAAAGTTGCTTTTATTTTTGTTTAATATAGTGAGCTATAGAAAGGTTCCAAAATGCCCAAACTTCTGCAATGGTAAGTGGGAATCTTTATGGCCCAATTGTATAGAATATGATTGTATTTTATTTGTTTTTGATAAAGATGATGAGGTTTGGATTGCAAGTGTGGCAGACTTGAAATGTGGCCATTCTTTTCTGGAACACTGTGTTAGTGTATCAGATCTGACACATTCACTAATAAGACGTACATTGGGGTAAGTTAAGTAACATTTCTGTTAAAACAATAAGTAACTCCTAGCAAATCATTGCCCTATACTAAACAGGACAAAAACAAGACTGAAAGTATTACTCTTTGAATCTAATAGCAGCTACTTTTGCGGAAAAACTTGCCAGCTGTCTACACTGGCCACTTGAATTTCCACAAGAACACTGATGATCTCATGTAAGATTGTCAGTGTTCTTGCAGACATGCTATGCTGCTCCCGTTTGGGCAAAATCCCTCTTGCGCAAATGCTTTTGCACAAGAGGGCCAGTGTAGACAATGTGGTATTGTTTTGTGCAAAAAAGCCCCGATAGCGAAAATGGTGATCAGGGCTTTCTTGAGCAAAACTGCGTCTAGATTGGCACGGACGCTTTTCCGCAAAAAGTGCTTTGCGTAAAAGCGTCCGTGCCAATCTAGATGCTCTTTTCCACAAATGATTTTAACGGAAAAACTTTTCCGTTAAAAGCATGTGCAGAAAATAATGCCAGTCTCGACGTAGCCTTTGTGAAATAAGAAAGTAACAATACGTCACTCCATGCCATTGCTTAATTACTGCTTTTCCTTTAGAAAAAAAAGGGGATGGTAGTCGTAGCCAGGCAGGCTATGTCTACACTGCAGATTTTTTGTGCAAAACCAGCCATGTTTGTGCAAAAACTCACAGAGCATCCACACTACAAGTGCATTTTTGCAGAAGAAAAAGTACAGTAGATTGTCAGAAGACAGGGCTTTTTGTGCAAGAGTTATTCCTCTTTTCAGCCTTTTTGTGCAAGAGCTCTTGTGCAAAAAGGCGTGTGTGGACAGACAACGGGTTTCTCGCACAGATGCTCTAAAGGCAATCAGAGCTTTCTTGCACAAGAAATGGCAAGTGTGGTCAGTCTCTTGAGCAAAAGCATGTCTCTTGCACAAAAGCAGATGGCAGTGTGGGTGCGCTCTTGCACAAAAAGTTCTCGCGCAACAAGTCTGCGGTGTAGATGTAGCCTTAGGGTATATCTATACAGCACAGTTGTTTAAAAATAATGGATGGCTTATTTTGAAATCTGCAAACCTCATTCCGTGAGGAATAACTCTCTGAAATATCTATTTAGGAATAGCAGTAGTGTGGATGCTCCACTGCTGCTCCACTGCTGCTATTTTAAAATATCTCCTCCCTAGGGCCATTCAAAGTAATTACTTCCAGTGTTTCCTGGGGCTCTAATTTGAGGTAGCACATTCACATTAGGGAAACCTGCCTTGGATTAATTTTGAGGCTTCCCTGTAGTGTAGACATGCTATTTTGAAATAAGCTATTGTGGGGAAAAAATTCCAAAATAGCTTATTTCAAAATAAGCCTGCTGTGTAGATGTACCCTTATTGTCCTGCATTACTAGGAGCATTGCCAGCAGATCGAAGGAAGTGGTTATTTCCTTCTATTGGTACCAGAGAGGCAAGAACTAGAATATTGCATTCAGTTTATAGAAAGAGGTTAGAAACAGCACTCAATTTATTTCCGCTTTACCACTGATTTTGTTTCCCATTTCTCCCATTACTTGTCTTCTTTTTAAACAACCTTACATTTTCACATGAAAGTTTTATGTCTGAGTATGTCTACACTTGCAGCCCAATTCAAAATAGGGCTGCAAATGTAGGCATTCGAAATTGCAAATCAAGCCCGGAATCTAAATATCCCACACTTGATTTGCATGTTCTTGGCTGGGCCCCACTTTTTGAAATCGACAAGCCTGGAATAACTGCCTGCGTCTACACGCTGCAGTGAAATGGGCATTTGAAATAAAGTCCTAGTTCAACATACCTGTTATTCCTCCTGAAATGAGGTTTAACAGGTATTTCGAACTAGGGCTTTATTTCAAACTCCCGTTTCACTGCCACGTGTAGACGTGGGCAGTTATTCCGGGCTTATCAATTTCAAAAATGGCATCCATCTGGGAACATGCAAATCAAGCATGGGATATTTAGATCCTGGGCTTGACTTGCTATTTCAAATGCCTACATTTGCAGCCCTATTTCAAATTAGGCTGCAAGTGTAGACATACCCTCTCTGATTATCAATTAACTATCTCTGTGGCCTTCTTATTTCTGCTTTTTTTTTTCTATGACATATGGTGGTCAGAACTGAATATATTAAATGAGAGAATCCTTATATTGTGATATTTTAATACAGAAATATTTTCTGTCCTATTTCGGTACTGTTTGTTTTCAATGGTGACTGCCATTGCACATTGAACAGGTGTTTTGAATAAGCTTTCCCTCATTTTAAGACTTTGTATTCACCATACTGTAAGTTTCACATTCATGACTCTTGACTGATTGAAAAAATTGGCTATGATTTAACAACAATATTTCCTTTTTTGAGCTATTGACTGCAGTATATTTGGTTTTGGTGTGGAGGTGGGGGGAATATCATAGATTACAAGGCCAACATGGATGACTGTGATCATCTAGTCTGACCTCCTATATAAGACCAACCCAGGTAATATTTAAATCTACATACTGTGAGGGTTCATTGAAGACATAACTGATACTTTGCAATGATATATGTTATGGATGAAATACTAGAAAAACTTCCATTAACTTCAAAGGGGCCAAGTCCTATGTGTGTAATCCGTAAACAAATATCTCTGGCTATTGTGAATTGTGTAGCATATTGCAGTGTAGATTTTCAAAGGTGAACATAAAAACACAAGGAAAGTCAGTGGGACGTGGAGTATTCAAATGCCCCTTAGACTAAAATAGCCCAAATTAGATCATGGACAGGGGCTGGGGAGAGGGCACTGAAAGAGCTTTGTTCTGTAAGTGATTAACTGCAGATGATAAAATTGCATTAGTCTATTCCTACTTGAACATTTGGTATGTTTTTAATGCTGTTGGATGGGCATATTACAAAGTTAGATTAATTGTCAGGACAACTACGGCTCTTGCATAGGCATTTCTTTTACTATTACTTGAATTAAAAACAAAACAAAACAAAAAGATCAGACCCAAAGTATTTAAGAAGAACTGATCATTTGAAGGCAAATATTCTAGGCATGTCAAACACTGTTAGATCCACATAGTGGATGTGTAGCATTTGTAGCCTTATGAAAGCTGAGCAGAAAGTAACAGTTCAAACATCTTAGGCACTATGTCATATCAGACTTGATGTTTTTTTAAAAACATTTTTTAATTCTAACCCATTTCTGCCGAGAGCGGGCCAATGGAAGGGTACAAAAAAGAACTTTGTTTTTTTCTTGTCCTGTATCTTGGGGATAACCATTCAAGACTATCTCTCTTTGCCAGGTTTTAACTCTGTGTAAAATTAGTTTGAGACTATTTGAGCCCTGATGCCTTTTGTTATTGCACATCATTTGACTTTCATGTTATTGTTGAAAGACATCATCATTAGAATTAGTGCGTGGAGTAATAGCGTGCTCTCCTATTATTCTAAATATTACTTACATATATTATGTCGAATGGATGTCCTTAAAAATTTGCATATCTTCTGTTTCATAAATTTTGCCAGAGAAAACATTACCTCATAAGTTGCAGTACCGGTAGCAACTAAATATCATTGCTAACCACTGGATATTTATCTGAAGCAGCTTTAAGACAACTAGCAGTTTCAAAGAGTGGGCTCTGTATCTTCATTTCAATTGACTGTTATTGCATTGCTAATTTATTACTTATTACCAGTTCTGAAAGTATTTATCCATTTTATCTGAGACTACTTTTTTAAAAAGTGATGTGTGTGTAATCAACTTGTACCTAGTATCTTAAGTGTAAATCTAATTGAAGTCTAACCTATGAATATATATGAATAAGTACATTTGAAAGCATTCAATTAGCCTACAAAATCCCTTTTTTATATAGAGGGAATGTGTACCATCAGTATTTTTTTTTAAGGGAAATCCCAATTATTAAAGGTAAGACACAGTATATTAGAATGGCACGGTGCTTATATTGGGTAAGTGATGTGTAATATGAAATGACAAGTACAACTCAGAGACATGGGAAAAATTAAGGAAGGAAAAACAATGAGCAAAAATAATTTTCTGTCTGTGAGATCTATTTATCATCATTAGGTAGTCCATTAAAGTGCATGTCCCTTAACAGATAAATGAGAAACAACATTCTTGCACCACAGAGCTCAGAATTTAAGGATCTATAACCAAGATCCCTGAAGATACTGAGGAGCCTAACGAGGTGCTAATTGTTCTTATCAGTCTGTTGTAACTATTTGAACCATCTACTCACTGTCTCTCTCTATTTTTTTTCTCCTTTCCCCCTCCCCCTTATTTATTCTTGGATCTGGACTTCTAATACTCCTGTCATCTGAAAAAGTGAGTTTGCCCACGAAAGCTCATGATACCATCTACATGTAGGTGCTATTAGTCTATTTGTTGCTTTTTAAGTTTTTCCTAAATATCTTGGAAGGTTTAGGCTTTTGTGTCTGTACAGAGCCTCAAATGGGGCTTCATATATGAGTAAGTATGAGCACACATGAATCTGATTTCAGGACCAGGGCCTAAGTTATGGCATAACTTCACAAATAATTGTTACCTCTTTCTCTGATGAGTACTGGAGGCTTCACTGCTTGTTTTCTTGTGACCCCTGAAAAAGTTAAATTTTTATATACATTCATGGGAGGCAAAGGAAAGGAGAACCAGGTACAGCAGTAATTGTAGGCAATAGCTTTAGTTGATGTTCTATGTATCAAAAGTTGATAGGCTTTTGTGGGGGTTTTTCCCCAAAAATCTTTTATTCTGTGTGACACTGTTCCTGATAGAGAAACATTGGGGTTTATAGGGTTTGTGGAAGGAGGATTTTTAAGAGAGATCTGTAGGAGAAACTGTATGGGTGGAAACATGGGATCAAGGCGCAGAGCAGTGTAGGATCTCCAATCACAGGTAAGAAGGCACAGAAAAAAGTAGGGAAATGAAATAAAAGGAACATCTAACAGACAACCCATGATGTAACGGGAATAGGAGGGGAGAAGAAAAAAAACCAAGAGATGTCTATTAGGTATTGTTTACCATTTCCCACCCCCAGAAATTTGCCACACTCGTGCCATTGGTGCAGTCTTATCGGTGACAGAAATGGTGGGAACTCATAAGTGTAGATAGGACATTGGTACTTTTGCAGTTTAATTACCATGTTTGTCTAGACCAGTTCTGTACATGGTTAAAAAACAAGGTTAAGATGCCAGGTGGCCAGTAAACACTAACATTTCTACTGTTTCTAACATGAACAGAGCAGCATATGTGATAACAACAGTGAGATTTTTAAAGGAAACAAATGTATTACTATGGGATTTAAGTGGAGGCCCCATTACATGATACATTTAAAGTGATCAAAACTTGATCTAATATATCTTAGTGGATCTTTGCCATCTCTACCATTTCAGAACACCATGATCATTATTTCTGCTCTTTAAAGTAGATCACAGGTTATATGATAGTCACTTTATGACCAACAAAGTACCATTTCCGGTAGCATGCAATTAATTAATAATGATGTAGGGTGAAATTTTGAAAAGCTCTTGAAGGAATTGGGCATCAAACTCTCAAGGTGCTTTTGAAAATCTTATTTTTAAATATGGATTCTTAGCAATTTAGAACTTCTCTTTTTTCTACTACCTCTGATTCTATTTTTACCTGTTTCTTTGACAGGAACTGGAGGCTTCACTTCTTTTTCTTTTGTCAGCTCTGCAAAAGTTATTAGCAAAAATTGAAGCAGGGAGGCAATTATATTATCATGCATTTATACAGTATTTTGAGCCATGCAACAGTTTCACACATAGAAAAAAAAATCAGTCAAACTAGACTAGGGTTGATTAGCATGGAGTTTTGTTAAAAATCCAAAACTCAGGTTAGTTTAGCAAAGGGTTCAGTCTGGGCAAACTATGCCCTGTTGTACCAGACCATTTTTACCCTGGAAAGGTTATATAGGTAAAATTATGCTCTTAGTACACCTGAACTCCCCCATTGTCTTCCATGGGTTTGCACAGGTGTCAGTGAATTTAGCAGGTGACTTCAATGTAGTTAATTCTATTCTAGCTCTCTTTCCAACAGGTGCACTGGCTGTACCAATCAGAAAAGAGACAAAATGGCAAATCTTAATTTTTATTTCTTAATTAGATATGACTTCAGAAACACAAAGGGCTCAGATCTAATGACTAAAAAGGTGCCAGTTTTTGTAACTTTCCACAGAAGATCTGCAAGTTGAGGTTAACAAGAATTGTGTACACTGAGGGTATGTCTAGACTACAGGCTTTTGTCTACAGAAGTTTTGTCAACAGATACTGTTGACAAAGATTCTGTCGACAAAGAGCGTCTACACTACATTCAGTTCTGTCGACAAAGCAAGCTGCTTTGTCGACATGGTAGTGTAGACGCAAAGGACAGTTTACATGCAATAACACCTTCTGTCGACAGAACTCTGTCGACAGAAGGCGTTATGCCTCGTAAAATGAGGTTTACCAGCGTCGACAAAACTGCTGAGTTCTGTCGACGTTATGTCGACAGAACTCAGCGGTAGTGTAGATGCAGGTATAGTTTTGTCGACAAAAGGGGACTTTTGTCGACAAAATCCTGTAGTCTAGACACACCCTGAGACACCAATGCACCCATTATTATGGACAACTGGATATTTAATAATGAAATAGGTCATTTTTACATGTCCATTACCCTTTTCCTTTAAAGTTGCTGAAGTCTTCACTTCTTTCCTTTTAACCGGTTCTGTAAGGAAACATTTAACATTTATCAAAAGTCAGGTTAGAGAAAAAGATGACACATGAGAAGGAAGCGAGTCAGATATTTTTATATGGAAAGAGAAAAGAAGAGAGATGTGATAAGCAAATGGCTTTAATAGCAGGGAAATAAGCAGGACAATACAAAGACATAATTAACTGAGCCTTTTAGACTTAGTTTGATATGCAAAATAACAAACCTGTAATGTGCCATTAATTCTTTTGTATTAAGAAAAATTGCTGGGTTGCCTCAAACACAGAAAATGAATAATAATGATTTATGAAGAATAAAGTAATTTTATACATCAGTTGGCATGAACAATGGATTTTTCCATGACTGAACCAAACTACAAAATGCGCACACATTGACACAGTAAGGCTATGTCTATACTATGGATTTTTTCTGGGATACTCAAGAACCCACGCCCCCTCCCTACCTTCAGGGCATCCCTTATCATACCTTCCTAATGGCAGAGCCTACTTCATCCCTGGGGATGCTGGTGTTGGCTCCCCAGTGGCTGCCTAGGTGGGTGGGGAGGGAGGGGGAAGGGTACGGGACTCAAACTGAGCACCCTGCGCTCCCCAGGTGAATGGTCCATCCACTAAAACTCTGCTGCATCCAGGGAACGTGTCTGCTTTTCCGAAATTTTTTTCTAAAGAGCAGATATGCTCTTTTGGAAGCCCTGAGGAATAAGGGCTCTTCCAAAAGAGGAGGTTTTTCCAACATTTGGTCCCATGTAGACAGGACAAATGTCGGAAAAGCTTCTTCCGAAAAAAGTATTGGAAAAAGGTATGCAAATTGCAGTTTGCAGTTTGAGTACCTTTTTCTGAAAAAAAGTCAGCAGGGTAGAGACAGCCTTAGAGGGTTAGAATTAAAAGCCAGATCATGCCAAAAAAGGCTTAGGAGATGTACTTTTTCCTGAGAGTGACAACAGATGGAACTAGAACTGGGCAAATATTTTTCTTTCTCTGGCCCACTGGCTATTCATTATCATTCACAATGGCAGTTTGTAGTTTTTCAAGTTCAGCCAGAGGGCACTGTGATGGGAATGATGGTTTGGCCAAGGAGACTGGTCCAGAGGAGGGGGAAAAAAGTGGGATGAATTACTTACTACTACCCTGAGTCAGCAGCTAAGGTGAATGCAATTCAAAAGTGAAATGAGGAAAAATGTCAAAACATTTTGATTCAAAATGTCAAAATGAAATATTTCATCCTTTATGGATCAAATTTTTTGGAACTTTACATGCTGTGGGAAATTTTGATTATTCAATCTTTCCATCACAATTTGTGACCAAACAAATTTTAAAATCTCAGAATTTCACATAGCATGAACATTCCAATTTTTGACTAGCTCTGCCTTCTAATTTCAACATTGATGGCAGGAGCAAGTAGTTTGAGTTTTTAACTTTGTTATTTGAACACTGAACCTTCAGTATATTTTGTATATGTGCCCTGAGCGTTATCAAACACGACATTTAGATTTCAGAAGAGATTACAAATAATATCCACTTATCTCCATTTGAGAGTCTTACACAGTATTGCATAGCTATTTATGAATTTAATTATTAAATCTATGAATTTATATTTAACTCATGCCATTACCTTTGTCCTTTGGGATTTCTGGAGACTTCACATTTTTTTCCTTTGCATGGTCTATAGGAAAGTACAGTGAGTTTCACGATTAGTGATGAAAAATTATAGATGGACACATGATGCATTATTCAGATATTTAATTATTGAATCAATGAATTTATATTCAATATGTGCCACTACCTTTGTCCTTTGGGATTTCTGGAGTCTTCACAGCTTTTTCTTGTCCATGCTCTATAGAAAAGTGCGGTGAGTTTCACGTTTAGTGATGAAAAATAACAGATGGACACATGATGCATTTAGAAAATTAAAAATTGGCAAGTAACCTACATTAAAAGAGCTAAACTGATGTAACCCTTATAACCTGAGTATTAGCAAGTAGTGAATTTAGATGACATGAACAATTACGAATAATACCCACATATCTCCATTTGATACTCTTTCCTAATATTGCATAATTATTCAGATATTTAATTATTAAATCAATGAATTTATATTCAATATGTGCCACTACCTTTGTTCTTTGGGATTTCTGGAGTCTTCACAGATTTTACTTGTCCATGCTCTATAGGAAAGTACAGTGAGTTTCACGTTTAGTGATGAAAAATAACAGATGGACACATGATGCATTTAGAAAATTAAAAATTGGCAAGTAACCTACATTAAAAGAGCTAAACTGATGTAACCCTTATAACCTGAGTATTAGCAAGTAGTGAATTTAGATGACATGAACAATTACGAATAATACCCACATATCTCCATTTGATACTCTTTCCTAATATTGCATAATTATTCAGATATTTAATTATTAAATCAATGAATTTATATTCAGTATGTGCTACTACCTTTGTTCTTTGGGATTTCTGGAGTCTTCTCGGCTTTTTCTTGTCCATGCTCTATAGGAAAATACAGTGAGTTTCACGTTTAGTGATGAAAAATAACAGATGGACACATGATGCATTTAGAAAATTAAAAATTGGCAAGTAACCTACATTAAAAGAGCTAAACTGATGTAACCCTTATAACCTGAGTATTAGCAAGTAGTGAATTTAGATGACATGAACAATTACGAATAATACCCACATATCACCATTTGATACTCTTTCCTAATATTGCATAAATATTCAGATATTTAATTATTAAATCAATGAATTTATATTCAATATGTGCCATTACCTTTGTTCTTTGGGATTTCTGGAGTCTTCACTGCTTTTCCTTGTCCATGTTCTATAGGAAAGTGCAATGGATTTCAGAGAAAAACTTAAATAATCCTTGTTATGTAAAAAAACCAACAAATGGTCTGGTAGCACTTTATAGACTAACAAAACATGTAGAGAGAGATAACTTCAGTGTTAGCAAGCAGTAGCATGTAGCTAACATAAGCAATTACAAATGATACCCACATATCTCCATCTGACATTTCCAATATTGGATAACTATTTAGATATTTCGTTATTAAATCTATGAATTTATATTTAACTTGTGCCATTACCTTTGTCTTTTGGGACTTCTGGAGACTTCACAATTTTTTCCTTTACATGCTCTATTGGAAAGTACAGTGGATTTCAGTTTTAGTGATGAAAATAATAGATGGACACAAGATGTATTTTAAAAAATTAAGACTTAGCAAGTAATCTAAGTTAAAAGCTAAACCAAGAAACCTTTATATATGCATATGCACACTAGGGGTATGTCTACACTACCCCGCTAGTTCGAACTAGCGGGGTAATGTAGGCATACCGCACTTGCAAATGAAGCCCGGGAAATTCAAATCCCAGGCTTCATTTGCAAGTGCGGTATGCTACATTACCCTCCTAGTTCGAACTAGGAGGGTAATGTAGCATACCGCACTTGCAAATGAAGCCCGGGAAATTCAAATCCCAGGCTTCATTTGCAAGTGCGGTATGCTACATTACCCTCCTAGTTCGAACTAGGAGGGTAATGTAGCATACCGCACTTGCAAATGAAGCCCGGGAAATTCAAATCCCAGGCTTCATTTGCAAGTGCGGTATGCTACATTACCCTCCTAGTTCGAACTAGGAGGGTAATGTAGCATACCGCACTTGCAAATGAAGCCCGGGAAATTCAAATCCCAGGCTTCATTTGCAAGTGCGGTATGCTACATTACCCTCCTAGTTCGAACTAGGAGGGTAGTGTAGACATCCCCTAGAAGATTTAACCAGCATTGCTTGGGTCCTTAACTCAATTAATTTTTTGGATTTTTTTGGAAAATAAAACAAAAATGTACATGCTTCATTTAAATCATTGCTCTGGGGTGGGGCTGGGAATCAGGGGTTCAGTTTGCAGACTACTCTCAGAAGAGATGACTATCCCAACCCTCTCTCACCACAGCAGCTTAGGGCCAGGTGAGAAGTACCTCTCCACTGCAGCTCGAGTGGGCACAGGTTGGGGAGGGATGTATGTCCCCCAGCTGGGGCAGGTCCAGGTTCGTCTGCCCCCTGTGCTCCCCAGCCAGAGTGAGGAGTGCAGTAAACTGTGCACTTTCCCTTTGCTCTCTGAAAAAGGGAAACAGCCAGCAATATTCCAATATTAATGGGGGGAGCACACCTACGGGTGAGAGTCTCTTTTCAGTATGGTTATATAAGAAGCAATGCCATTCCAGGCACATCCCATTTTCCTGGCACAACCAAACCCTTACCTTGCTTTACATTCTGATAAGAAGAAGCTGCATTTGGAAGTCCTAGCTCTACTGTTTAGGGGAAGTTCTTGAACAAATGGATAGATGGACAGACAGACAGACAGATAACCTCTCACAAATATATAGTAGCTATATAAATAACCTGAATGTTAGCAAATAGTGAATTTAGATGACATGAAGGATTACAAATACTGCCCAAATACCTCCATTTGAAAATTTTCCAATATTGAATAACCATTCAGCTATTTAGTTATTAAATCTATGAATTTATAGGTAACTTGTACTATTACCTTTGTCCTTTGGGACTTCTGGAGTCTTCACAGTTTTTTCTTTTACATGTTCTATAGGAAAGTAGAGTGGATTTCAGTTGTAGTAACTAAAAATAATATATGTACACATGATGCATTTTAAAAAATTGAAAACTAACAATACTGTCTGGTAAACACAAAACCAATATAACCTTGTTCTCTTTATACTTTCTAGCATTGTGTCAGCAATCACCTTTCACATTGTGTTAAATTAAGTCCTTGATTCTTTAATACGCTTCATTAGCACAGACCTTTTTGTCTAGGCAGGGCCCCACTGAAGTAAATGGGACTTTGTTGCATGCAGAGCTCCATGTAAGGGGATCTGAATGTAGAATCAGATTCTTAGGGCCTCAGCTAAAGCCTGTTGGAGGTTAACAGGAATCTTTCCATTAACTTTAGTGAAGAGTCAGGCCCTTCAATTCAATACCGTAGGTGAGGAATATGTATTTCATCTCAGTAAGAGTACTGAGCATGCTTATTACTTTGTATAAATATTATATAGCATACATCTTATTACTCGCCATTTCCTAGTGGCGCTAATCTGTTGGCCTCTTAAGTGTACAGATCAATGAACATTTGCAGGGATTAGATAGCAAATGATGTCTTCAAAGAGAGGAAATAATTTTGGACCTTTTTGAATGTCACTTAGTTGGAGTGAAAGAATGTTTGTAGGAATGCTAATTAGAATCAATCAATCCCACTGACCTGATATGGCAATTAAATGCCTAGCAGGACTAAATGTCCTTGAAAGGATTACCGTAGATTCTGGATAAACCAATCTCAGCAAAATCCACTATAATCACAGTTTTAAGACAACAGAAGATTCCCCCTAAACTAGGTTTCCAATGCTTAAGAGCCCCAGGCCTCCAGACTATCAAGACTGGATCCCAAAGGTCTGTCTTAATCCAGCACACAAACTCAGCCTAGGGGCTTTGTTAATACAAGTTCATTTCCAGAGGGGAAAGAGCCTTAGGTCACCTGAATGCATCTGATCTGCAAGACTTTGAAGCCACTATCAAGAGCACCAGAGCTCAAAGGAAGGGTACTAGTTAATCTGGCTTCTCCCAATATGGCATGGGGACACACAGTCCAACTGTCCATTCCTCCCTGCTGCAGGGGCCCTCCCTCAATTTTGTAGTAGGAGTAGCCATTGAAGAAGGTCCCAACATCCTCTAGCAATGAGGGTCTAAGCAGCAGAAGCAATAACTAGCAGCTGCACAG